GGAAGAAAGAAGATTTTGTCTGCAAGAATGGCTACAAATTCTTCAAAAGCATGTCCAGCTCCAATGAAAGCAACATCTAATGGAGTTTTCCAAGGAGATAACCCCATAGATTTCGCGTTACCTCTTGCGATTCTGCAGATTATCATTGTTGTGGTTCTTACTCGTGTTCTTGCTTACCTTTTAAGACCTCTGAGACAACCTCGTGTTATTGCAGAAGTCATTGTAAGTTTCCCTTTATCTCTGTCAATTCCTTGAATCTTGATCAAAATATATACCAGCGTTTCGGTGAATGACAAGTCGTTGATTTGCAGGGTGGGATTATGCTTGGACCGTCGCTTCTTGGCCGTTCCAAGGTTTTTCTAAACGCTGTGTTCCCAAAGAAAAGCCTTACAGTTCTAGAAACTTTGGCTAACCTCGGGCTTCTCTTCTTCCTTTTCCTCGCCGGTTTAGAGATTGATACCAAGGCCCTTCGTCACACCGGGAAAAAGGCTTTAGGAATTGCCATGGCCGGGATCTCTCTCCCGTTTGCTCTTGGCATTGGTACTTCGTTTGTTCTCAGAGCAACAATCTCCAAAGGAGGAGACAGTACTGCGTTTCTCATCTTCATGGGTGTGGCACTCTCAATCACTGCATTCCCTGTGCTAGCCCGTATTCTGGCTGAGCTCAAGCTTTTAACTACTGAAATAGGACGACTTGCTATGTCAGCAGCTGCGGTTAACGACGTGGCAGCCTGGATTCTCCTTGCTCTAGCCATTGCTCTCTCGGGAACCGGTACCTCCCCGCTTGTCTCTCTCTGGGTTTTCCTTTCTGGGTGCGCTTTTGTTATTGGTGCTGCTTTCATCATTCCACCAATCTTTAAGTGGATTGCGCGGAGGTGCCACGAGGGAGAACCCATTGAAGAAACCTACATTTGCATCACTTTGTCTGTAGTTCTTGTTTGTGGATTCATAACCGATGCTATTGGAATCCATTCCATGTTTGGTGCTTTTGTGGTGGGTGTTTTGATCCCCAAGGAAGGACCTTTTGCTGGTGCCCTCATTGAGAAGGTTGAGGATCTTGTTTCTGGTCTCTTCTTGCCTCTTTACTTTGTGGCGAGTGGTCTGAAAACTAATGTGGCAACGATTCAAGGAGCTCAGTCTTGGGGTCTTCTGGTTTTAGTCATTACCACCGCTTGTTTTGGCAAGATTGTTGGCACTCTTGGTGTTTCCCTCGCCTTCAAGATACCTATGCGAGAAGCTCTAGCATTAGGGTTCCTCATGAACACTAAAGGATTAGTCGAACTCATCGTCCTCAACATCGGGAAAGATCGAAAGGTATAAACTTGTTTCAACCTTTTAACACATTTTCATCACGAAAGATCCGAAGGTGATAACTTTTTCTGTTCTGGTTTTCCTCAGGTTCTCAATGATCAGACATTTGCCATAATGGTTCTAATGGCTCTCTTCACAACTTTCATCACCACACCAATCGTGATGGCAGTTTACAAACCGGCGAGACGAGCAAAGAAAGAAGGAGAATACAAACACAGGACGGTTGAACGAGACAACTCAAACACACAGCTTCGTATCCTCACATGTTTCCATGGGGCCGGAAGCATTCCTTCGATGATAAACCTCCTCGAAGCCTCTAGAGGCATCGAGAAAGGCGAAGGACTCTGCGTGTACGCACTGCACTTACGAGAACTATCAGAGAGATCTTCAGCTATTCTAATGGTTCATAAAGTTCGCAAAAACGGAATGCCGTTTTGGAACCGAAGAGGGATCAATGCAGGATCAGACGCCGATCAAATCGTCGTCGCTTTCCAAGCTTTTCAGCAACTAAGCAGAGTAAATGTCCGACCAATGACAGCAATCTCATCAATGTCTGATATACACGAAGATATCTGCACAACTGCAGCTAGAAAGAAAGCAGCCATTGTGATCTTACCGTTCCACAAACATCAACAGCTCGATGGTTCGTTGGAGACGACACGCGGTGATTACCGATGGGTTAACCGGAAGGTTTTGGTCGAAGCTCCTTGTTCAGTCGGAATATTCGTTGACCGTGGACTCGGTGGTTCGAGCCAAGTCTCTGCTCAAGACGTTTCTTACTCAGTCGTGGTTCTCTTCTTCGGTGATCGTGATGATCGTGAAGCTTTGGCTTATGGGTTACGCATGGCGGAGCATCCCGGAATTTCATTGACGGTTTTCCGATTTGTGGTTTCGCCGGAGAGAATCGGAGAGATTGCTCGTGTCGAGGTTGATAACAACAATCAGAATGTCAAATTGGACGAGGAGATTATGTCTGAAATCAGGAAGAAATCGTCGGTGGATGAATCGATTAAGCTCGTGGAGAAAAGAGTGGAAAACGCCGCCGTGGATGTTAGATCGGCGATTGAGGAAATGCGGCGGAGCAATCTGTTCTTGGTGGGTAGAATGCCAGGTAGAGAAATCGCATTGGCGATTAGGGAAAACAGTGAATGTCCAGAGCTTGGACCTGTCGGAAGTTTGTTGATTTCGCCGGAATCTTCGACGAAAGCTTCAGTTTTAGTGATTCAGCAGTACAACGGCACCGGCACGGCGTCGGATTTGGCTACGGAGTTATTGAATTCTTCGCCGGATAAAGACTCCGAGTGAATAAGGTGGTTTATTAAGAACGGTCC